GGGGAGCAAGGCCCGGCCTGGCTGCTGAGGGGGATCCGATCGGAGGAGCTGGTGGCGGGTGACTCGGGCTAACCAGGCTGGATCGTTTGGTCCCTCCAGAACCAGAACCTCTTTGGTTGTCTACAGGATAGCTGTTGCAACAGGAGGAGAGAGAGAGAGAGAGAGAAATAAGGCTATTAGCCATGAGGCCAGATTAGACTGTACAGTCTCAATGTTAACGCAAATCATCTGTGTTTGTTGCAGTCCAGACAAAAATCTAAGTTCCAGCTTTAACTGGTGTTTCCATGAGACCTCACTCCTTGGTTTTAGTTCCCTCGCAGTGTTTCTTTTGGCCTACACCACCAGAACAAAGGAAAGCTCCTGGGGACTGGCAGAAATGCTATCATCCGTCCCATCTCCCAGGCTGACAAGAACATGAGCCATCTCACCTCTCCGCCAGAGGCCAGGCGTCACGTCTGAGCTCAGAGCAGCCTCCTGGCTTAAGAGCTCCTGCAGCAATGCAAGCCACTACCCCTCCACGCTGAGGTCAGACGTATGACACGCCAAGCAGGGATGTCTACCATGATAAATCGCACAAGGACTGGTGGGTGTGCCAGGAAAGCATATGCTCTGAACACCTGCTAGGAACAGATCTCTTCACTGGATTCCATGGCTCAGAGCTGGAGTGCAGCAGCCATGTCTCATAGCTCGCCGTGGGGAGTGAAGAGGAAGACATGGAAACCCAACGTGCTTTTAAGGAAAACACCGATTCTTGAGTGACTGAATCTCCCGTTTACGGAAGCTGTGTTATACCAGAAAATATCCTGTAATATCCTATGTACGTGTAAAGGAAGTCCTAAATTGACATCTCCTTCCACGGTAAAATAGAAAAATAAGGTACATTTGCCACAAAAACGTCACAGTTTTTAACAGTGCACAGTGCTGATCCAAGACAGGACTACTGGAGATCAAACCTAGCTCCCAGGGTTCTTTAAAAACAACCACCGAAACAAAACCAGAGAGGGGAGATCTCTGTGGCTAGGCAGAGATCTAAGCAACTGCATAACACAGCATAAGCTTCATCTGAAAGCTCGTTTCTGCTCTGCCCTAGAGGAACATGCTGCGGAGTGGAGTGCTTGGTCTCTTTGACACATCAGAAGAGCCTTTTCTGCAGCATTGCTGCCTTTGGATAAGATGGAGACAAGCTAACGCAGTCCTGTTTATCAGACATACTTCCTCCTGTTACTCTTGACTCTGTTTCACTGCCTTTAAGAAAAAAAAAAGCTCCTCTCTTGTTTCACCCTTTGTGTCTTGAGCCACTGCTGGACCATAATTCTCATCTCTAGAGGTGACTGGAAGTCACCATTTCATCCGATACAAAGCAGCTGCCCTGAACTTGCACTGAAGTCTCTGGGAAGAAGTCAGCTGGTGTGCTCAAGTCCTTTAACTACATCTACATCTTCAGTGCCCACGTCGTGCATTTGTCAAAGATCACAGGGGCAAACGGTAACAAAAACACAGAGGTGAAAGAAGCCGTTCTTTGCACAGCTCTATCAGGAACGTAGGTCTACATGCTCTGGAACAACTGCATTGGAAAACTCATGCAATGGAGCCAGACCATTATTTGGGACCCCACTCTTCTAGAAAGTGAAATAACTCTGCTCCTGTTCTCGCCCAAGCCCATTCTCCCGTTCTATATGGGAATAACAACGGTGGTTGGGATTTACGGAGAGCTGTGCTGCCTGTGCCTCTGTCCCTGCCTGCAGTTGCACTTCCCCTCCAGACAGGAGCATTCTGGTTCCCATACAACACCCGTTAGGAAGTTATGCTGAACTATCTCAGCCTGTCTCATGTCATCCTTTTACACCACCTACTACTCCCTGGTGACAGAAGGGATCCCGTAGGCTTACCTAAATTCCACCGGGGGTGGAGGCAGGCTGTCATCTGGGAATGAAGGAGGTGGTGGCACAATAGAGTCAGTCTGCGGCGGTGGCGGGTAGCAGTTCACGTCCATGCTTTCGTTTGAACCGATGCTGCCGTTCTGATACACCATGTTAGAGGGGTACCTGAGTGAAAGCAAGACAAGCAATTTATTTAAAGAGTTCAAGGCGATGTCTAAAGCTCATTTTTCCCCCTCACTCACAAGAGCTTTGCCTCCTGGAAGGGTTACAAACAAACAACCGTGCAGCAGTTCAACCACCGAACAGCAGTGATATTAACCACGTGGATGGATCAACCTG